GCAGGTGGAGCATCTCGGGGCGTGGGGAGGGGGGGCAGCACATGCTTGGCTTTCTTAGTTGCAGTTGCCTTGCAATCAGGCTGAGTGACGCAAAGTGCGGGGCGGGCCACTCAGGCTGCGCCTAGCCCTGAGATGCGGGTCAGGGCTGCCGCGGCTGTCCTGCGCAGCTGCGCAGAGTGACGCTGGGGTGCGCGGCCTCTGAGCAGGTACCCGGCGCTGGTGAAGGGGTGCTGACCCAGCATCTGGAGAGGAAATGCGGGTTCAGCTGGGGGAAGGGAGTGCTGGTTGCAGGGGCTCAGGCGGAATGCGGGGAGGGTGCTCCTTAGCCCCGGGAGGGAATGCGAGGTGCAGGGTCGCGGGTTGCTATGTCCTTTGAGTATGGCTGAAAAAAGTGCAAAGATTAAGCCTTGGACCCTGGTGCAGGCATGGCCTGGAGTGCGGTCTGCATTCTGATGCAGAGATTTCTGCTTGGGTGGGGGGAGGGTGTGCCCTGGGATTGGGGCATTAAGTTGGGGTGTTGAGGGGCTGCAGGGTTTGATCTGCACCAGGTACAGGCTCTGGAGCTAGTACATGGCACAGGCTCATGCCATCTGGTGTGGTCTGCGCCCACACCGCGGTACAGCTCCCAGCTCTTGCTCTGGACCCTGACAGGGGACTGGAGCATTGATTAGCTCCTGTGCTCCGGTGCCCTTTCCTGTGTCTAGACGTTTATCATAACCGAAGTATACCAGGCTGGTATGTCCAGGATGGAGGGGCACGCAGAGAACTAGCGGGAAGCCTAAGTGCCACAGAGTTTACAGTGAGCAAGGCAGAGAAGGTGCCACATGTCCCAGCCACCAGCCAGGGCTCACAAGCCCCTCCCCGCCCCACACACTAAAGTCTCTTATGTCTTCTGGTATTTCTGTGTGCTGGGATGGGTGGGGTACCCAGATACACCCTGGGTCCAGAGGTCCTGAGCTCAAATGCCAGTTTGGAAGACGTTCCCGGAGTCCAGTTGCATTTGGCTATACATCCATTCCTAATGAGAGGTTGGGCTCAGTTGGTGTGAGGCTGTAGGGAAGGGTGTGCCACTGCCCACCCCAGCCCCATATCTGAGCCCTTTTCTGTCTCTACTAGTGCCTGGGTGTAGAGCTCAGATTTGAAGGCTCATCCCATGTAGGGGTCCTACTCTGTCCCTGTCTGCTGTCTACTAAAGGTAGACCAGATGATCCAGGTAGATTTGTAGATGTCATGTACATTCTATATCCAGGGGTATAGGCACTGCCAAATCCTCTCTGTATGTCTGTCTGTCCATTTATTCTTTAACCTTTGGAGTGCTCTGGACACACACCCCTATGCTAACTGCTTATGGAGATGTAAGCTAGTGTGGGCAGAGCTTCATGTAGGTGTCATTGACTGGGTAACCCCACTGAAGACTAAATGGGCTGAAAAAGGTCATTGTCAGTCCTGGGTCATCTATAGCCTTTTACTTCTTTTGGGCAGAGGATGGGGAGGGAAAGGGTCTGAGCCAGGGTCACAGTATGGCCTCAGGGCAGTTATGGGTCCAGGGGAGTGGGTATCTCAGGGCTGTTTGCAGCTGGGTTTCCAGGACATCTGCAGAGACCCAGTGGCCGTATTGAGACAGCAGATGTCTGTGAATCTAGATTCAATACCTCAGAGTCCTTAGGACAGGTGAAGGCATCAGACACCCACGTCTACTTATGCCTACTGTGCTCCTGGCATTTGGAGGGTGGACTATCTCAGGGCAGCTGCCTCTAGTCTAGGTCTCTCCACACTGGCTGCTGCATTGGCTTCTGTTCCTCTCCTGTCACCTGGGCTCCTTTGTTTCTCTGTAGATGGGAGACAAGGTTTGTGGCTACTGAGTGTACAGGACAAGACTCCAAAAAGTCCTAAAGGGACAAGCCATGTCCTGTACTCTCACAGTTCTGCAAGAGGGCTGGCCAGTTTTCATCCTCACATCTTCTGGTGAGAAGTTATTCCTGGGGACAAGATGGGGGTTGGGGAGGGGATGTCAGATCAAGGGGCCAGAGCATCTGCCTGAAGCCAGCAGCTGCAGCCACAGTTCAGCCCCAAGAGTCCCAAGGAAGGAATGTTGACCAGCAACTGGGCAGAGAAACAGCTTGGGGACCTGGTGCTGGAGAAGTGATGTTCAGTGCAGGGAGAGGTTGAGGTGTGTGGTTGGATTTTGCCCCTTGGCAACCCCTCTTCTATGCCTGCTGGAGCAGTAGAATGAGGGGCAATTAGCATCACAAGATAGCATTAGGAGGTAGCCCTGCAGGACTGAATGCCATGGTTTTTCTTTTTCTTTTCTTTCTTTCTTTTTTCCTTTCTCTTTCCTTTTTCTTTTCTTCTTCTTCTTCTTCTTCTTCTTCTTCTTCTTCTTCTTCTTCTTCTTCTTCTTCTTCTTCTTCTTCTTCTTCTTTTTTATTTTTTTGAGACAGGGTTTCTCTGTGTAACCCTGGCTGTCCTGGAACTAGCTTGGTAGACCAGGCTGGCCTGGAACTCAGAGATCGGCTGCCTCTGCCTCCTAAGTGCTGGGATTAAAGGTGTGGGCCACCATGGATTTTCTTGAGTTGTTAACTAAGGAAAACTGGCAGCTTTTTGTGGCCTCCGCAAAGCAGAGCCAGTAGGAAAGGTGTGCCCCAGCAGGTTGGCTGTCATTAATGTCTGACTTCTCAGGACGCAGTATTATGGTACTTCCCAAAACCTACTCTGTGGCCAGTGGAGGCTTTTGTTTTCCTTTTGGAAAATGAAAGAAGTCAACTGATTTCTGTAATCACGAGATGCAGAACTACAGGGCACACACCAGGGCATGTGGCGGCCACAGGAATTTGTCTCCCTTCACTGGTCTGGATGCGCTCATTCAGGGAGCTGGTGAATGGTGGAGCCATTGAGACACCTGAGATTGCAACCATTAGGAATGGGTTCCGAGGGTCCTCAGATGCATGTGTGCTTGTAGATTGTCCAAGGTGATAGAACTCCGGAAGCTTGGAGAGATGTCCAGACTGACGAGGGGAAATAGATGAAGACTCCACAGAGGAAACAAGTGGGTGTGTCTCTCAGAACCGCAGCTTCGTCTTCCTCTTTCAAATATATTTTAATACTTCTCTCTCGGGGTGTTTCTCCAGAAACCCTAGCCTCACAAATGAGCAAAGACTTCCCTCGAGGCATCTAGAGATCGCTCTTCTGGGGTGAATATGGAACCACGGAGGATGGAGTCCTTAGACAGGAGAAGAACCATCTCTGAGCAAGAGGAGGGCTTTGGAGTGGAGGCCAGGATGACCACCGATCTGGGCATGGTCCCCAATCTCCGGCGAAGCAATAGCAGCCTTTTCAAGAGCAGGAGACTTCTGTGCCCCTTCATTGAGAAGGTAGGCTTCCACCCCTGGCTGGCCATTGGTTAGGTCACCCTGGGCTAGTCAAGGCAGTCAGTGACCATACAGTAGGCTCATTTCTTACCTGGGTCTGCTATCCACTTAGAATGCTTTTTGGGAGAGGAGAGCCAGGATATGGTATAAAGCCAGCCAGACTGCTTACTGAGTATTGCTCAGCTGCAGTTGTTTCCCCTTGTCTACTGCGTGGGAAATGGCCAGGCGACACTGAGGCCCCATGCTAGATGCTGGGAGCCCTCACTTCTTCCCTGTTGCACAATAACTCTAGCTCCTCTATCTTTCTGTGGAGTCCAGGGGCAGCACCGCAGGTCCCAGGCAAGTGTCACTGGAGACTGGAAGGTACATTTGAGTATGTGGTCAGGCAGGCAGGCAGGAGGGTGTCTTCAAAGCTGGGTACCAGGTTTTCACCCCAGATGTTCTTTTCATATCATATCCTTCCCAAGGAAAGCAATGTGGACATATAAACTGTAAAGTGCTGAGCACAAGTATCCCCAAGAGAACACCTTTGCAGAGTCTCATCCCTGTCTCCTGAGTACACACCCAGATCCCAAGCAAGGGAGCTTTTAAATTTTGGGGTGGCGTTGGGTCCCTCAGTGGAAGCTGGTCAGGGAGCAGGTGTCTAAGGGAGACCTGGGGGTATGTGGCTTCATACTGTCAACATGCTCTTTCTGACTCCCAGCAAGAAAACCTCAGCTCGTGGATCCCTGAAAACATCAAGAAGAAGGCGTGTGTGTATTTCGTGGAAAGTTCCAAACTCTCTGATGCAGGGTAAGTGGCATGGTTTTGATTAAGGTCTCTGGTCCTTGTCTCCTGATGCAGTGTGAATGGTTAATCAGACCCACTTGTGCGGCCTCAGCCAGGGCCAGTTAAGGAGCAGCTGGTGCTCATGCCAGGCTGAGAATCCCCAAGTCTCTCCATCTCATCTCAGGAGACACTTGGGAAACATGCCCAGGCCCTCTCTTTCATGTCCCTAAGAGTCCCTTGGGGTATGGAATGTGCTTTGCAAATAGGTTGGCCTATGGCAGAGGGTGACCTGTACAGAGTCTTGTGGCTGTGCAGCAGGGACGTTCAGATCAAGCCTGGTGGGCCAGGTCTCCTTTACATGTCTTCGGAACTTCTTGGTTTCTAAAGAGTCAGGGATCCAGGAACTGTTTGGACCCAAGGGAAGCTCACAGGTCAAATGTCCTTAAAAGCCATATCATAGGGTCCTGCCACTGCAAGGTCTCTGGGCCTCCTTCTCTCCCTTTACTCAGCCCACAGTGAGAAAATGGTTTCCTCTAAGACTAGATAGGAGATGTTAGTGGTCACTCTAGGCAGCTGGATATTGTTGTTCCCCAGGTGGGACTGCCTGCAAGTTGGGACAGTCAGAGGGACTATGGAGCAAATGGGGACCCATCCCTGTTCCTGGGAATGCAGCACCCTTAGACACTGCTCTCTGAGGTGGGGGGTCCTTGAGACAGAACTGGGTGATGGTTCATGTTGGCAGCCCCCTCTTTAACCATCTACTTTCTTCTACTCCTTTCCCCATGGGGAACTCCTGTTTATTCCTCAGTGCCGATGGCAGACACCACCTCTGCGGTGTAGCTGCCCTGGATCCCACAAATGTACAGGATATAGCCTCCCCCACACATGCTTGTGTCTTTCTTATTCCCACTGATAGCTGTGCTGTGCCTGGGGCCCCAGCGCTTGTCTCTCCTGCTCACTGCCCAGGTCCTTTGGGAACTGCGACCAAGGTGCTGAGTGACTTTATGACTTCCTGGGCCAGACACACAGATGGCATCTGGCCCTTCTGCTTTGAATGACATAGGGGATGGAGATGCCCTACACTGTGTTCAAACTGAGTGATCATGTTGCCTCTGAGCCCTGTGAGCTCTCCAGGTGTGAGTGGTGAAAACCCAGGGGCCTGGAGGCTTTGGGGCCCATTCCCTGGCCTGGTTTCTCTTCAGGGAAGAGTCTCATTGCTTCTGGGTCATAATGGTATAGCTTCTGGAGGGAGAGGTCACCACCACGGTGCCCACAGCTTTATGCCAGGAACCCTACTGTACTTAGGGAACAATCATTTTCCAGCGGACTTCCCTGAAAAATAACAGAACAAAACATTGTCTGTCCTTCCAGGCCATTCTCTAAGCAATGCGATGGCTCCTGTGGTGTCTGCACTGTAACCCCTGGTTCACAGGAGAGTGACTGTGCACTCTATACAAATGCTATGACTGACACATGGGAGGGATTTGAGTGTCCTGGGAATTCCATATCTGTGGAGCCTAGAATCTATCTGTTCTGTATGGACACTGAGGAACCAACACAGAAAGGGACCAGGGGCTCCATGTGGGAAGAACAGCCCTCTTCATGCATCAAGGAGACCAGGGGAAGGGACATTGGCCATAGCTTCTATGTGACTCCCACATGCTGGCTTTGCTTGGATCCTGGTAATCAGTCTCACTCCCTGAGGCTAGGCAGGGCCCAGAGAAAAAGTAAATACTGATTCAGTTGATGTGGTCTGTGTGAGCTTGTGGGTCCCCAAGACCACCCTACATGCCCACTGAGAGTTAGGATGCTCACTGATGGTTTTCCTTAAAGTGGAGGGTCGTGGCTGTAAAAGTCCCTTCTCTAGTTGCCTATGTTGGGGTTTCTGCCTTGGAAGCCAAAGAGAGCCTGTCTTAGTTCCTGTTTATTTCCATGAAGAGACACTATGATCAAGGCAACTTATTAAAAGAAAACATTTAACTGGGGGCTTGCTTAAAGTTTCACAGGGTAAGTACATGATCGTCATGTAGGGAGCATGGCGGCAGGCCAGGCAGGCATGGCACTGGAACAGTCGCTGAGAGCTCACATTCTGAGACAACAACCAAGAGAGAGAGAGAGAGAGAGAGAGAGAGAGAGAGAGAGAGAGGCTGGAAAAGGGTGTGAGGGTTTTGAAACTTCAAGGCACATCCCCAACGACACAGTTCTTTCAAGAATCCTAGAAACTATCCTAATCCTTCCTAAACAGTTCCATCAACTGGGAACCAAGTATTCAAACATGTGAGCCTATGGGGGCCATTTGCATTTGAACCACCACAGAGCTTGTCTGTACTGACAATTGTGTGGCCACCTAGTTGCAAACCAGAAGGAACACCAGTGTTCAGCAAGTGTCATATAGCAGAAGGATAGACCTGGTCAGTAGGGGTCCTGCTCCCAGCCTCCAGGTGGAAGGCAGGCTTCCTGGCAGGTGGAGCCCCTTCCCACTCAGTCCCATGGTGCTGCGGGGGGCACTTGCTTTGAATCTTCCCTTTGCTCCTGTCCCTAGAGAATGTGGCTCTGCTCTGTTATTGGTCATGGGGCAGGCAAAGGAGCGGAGAAAGTGGCCAGCATCCTTCCTATCAGGGCAGAGCTTAGGAACTGTGTTGATTCACCTACACAGCCACCAGTTGCTTTAGGAACTTCCTTTCTCCGCTTGTCCTGTCAGGCCTGGAACCTTTACTGCCTGACTCCATCATCCCCCCTCGCTTCTTAGTCCCCCAGTACCAGTGGCCACCCTCAGCTCAGCATGGATGTCTCATGTCCCTTTGGACCATTGCCACCCCAGACCAGAAATTCCCCCACGTGGCTGAGCATTTCCTTCCAACTGTGGGCCTCTTTCCTATCCCACAGCCTCATCTATAGAGTGCAGAGGTTGAAATGGGGTTGGGAAGGGTTTCAGCATTCAAGCATGGGTACTGAGTGAGGCTAGGATCATCACATCTGGGAGAAGGACTCGGAAGCATTGGGTATCTCCCTAGAGCTCGCCCCTCCTCTCAGCGTGCCATTCTTGTCCATGCCCAAATAGGTTAAGACTGTGTAGTTATTTCATTTCTGGTTTGTCTGACACAGTCGGTGCAGCTTTCTGTTCTGGGCCAGGATAGAGAACACCTTGGGTGTGTGTGTGTAAAAGCTCACGCCATCAAAGAGAAAGAAGAGAGAAAAGAGATGGCTTGGTATTGCCTGATGGCATCCTCAGCATCACCAGGCCAAGATACAACAGCCAGGTCTTAGCTCAGGGGCACGTTGCTGCCTTCACTCTAAGCCTAGCTAGGAAGATCCTTAAGATCCCTGAAAGCCATACGTGCCTGGAGTCTCTTTCAGGGGTCTGTATGATTTTTCAGAGTGGGGCCAGGGAATGTAATCTCTCGTGACAATGATGGAGAAATTGGGATGGAACTTCCAAACCCTGCAGCAACAGTGGCAGGAAGATATGGTTGCCTCTCCTGGCCCAGCCATCGTCTCCTGCTGGTCTGGGTCTGAGTCCGTCTGGTTTAGATGCGTCCTCTGCTTCAGCCGTGCTTCGTCTTTTGTAGGGCTTAGTATAGTTTGCCAGCCTCTTCTGTTTTGTACTGGGCTTCTGTTGTATGTGTTCAACTTCTAATTTTGAAAGAATTGCAGATTCAAAGGAAGATATGCCAGCCCCCTTGTCCGGGTAGCTCTGTTTTCATAACAGTGGTGCTGTATCAAAACAGAAAGTTCAACCTTGGTCAGAGTGCACGCTGCCCTTTCATCACACGTTAGCATGTGCAACCACACAGGCAGGATGCATACGCCACAGATAGCCCTCTACTTGCCCTTGTGGTTACACACACCCTTTCTCACCCTCTAGCAACCAGTACACACATCTTCACATAGACTTCCTATAAACCTGTCATTTAGAGAAAATCACGTGGGTAGAGTCATGAACCTCTGGGTCTGGGTCACACAGATGGCACCACACGGTGGGGGTCTGTGCCTTTTGACATGCAGCCCTTGAGCCTCATTCATGTTCCTGCATCGACTCTTTCACCATTGAGCAATTCTTTAATTATAAATATTTGATGTGAGACTTTGTAGATAATAACCAGGTCCTGGTTTTTGTTCATTTGTTTGTTTTAGTTCTGTCTGTCTGTCTCTCTCTCTCTGTAAACCAGGTTGGCTTCAGACTCACAGATGTGCCTGCCTCTGCCTTGCAAGTGCTAAAGGCGTGTGCCACCATGCCTGCTGTGTGTTTGGATCACTTACATTTAATATAATCATTGCTGCTTTAGGGCTTGGATGTGCCACTTTGTTTTTGTTTTCCGTTTTCTTTCTCTTTCACTTCAGCTTCGTTGTGGCTGCTGTGGTTATTGAAGTTACTTAGCAAAGGGTGTCACAATCCAGGAGTGGTGATATGCTGAGAGTCGCCGTAGAGTGTAGAAACATCTCCTTTTACCAGTCCTCACTTACAATTGCTTAGAATACCATGTTTGACCCAGTTCAACCATAAAACACCCTTTTAAAAACCCAAGAGGAATGGAATGTATTTACTCACGTTTTCTACTCTTTCTAGTGTTTCATCTTCCTCTCTGATATTCAGATGTCTTCATTTGCCCTTTCTCTTCCTTTCAGATAATTTCCTTTATAAGTTTTTTGTTTGTTTGTTTTTTAAACAGGGTCTCATGTAGACCAGGTTGACCTTGAACTCCCTATGTAGCTGAAGGTGACCTTGGATTAAGATCTTCTTGCCTCTAGCTCCACCTCCTGAAAACGTGGGTCACAGGGGTGCATCCCCATGCCTGGTTCTTGCAGTGCTGGGACTGAATCCAGGCCTTGGAGCATGCCAGGAAACACCCTGCCAGCTGGGCTACACCCCACCCCTTTAGTCATTCTTTGGGCTTGTTCTACTGTTGACAAATCTCCTTAATGGCAGTTCAGCTAAGAGCATTCCTCAAGTTCTTCAGTCTCAAAGGATAGTTTTGGTGGGTATAGAACTCTGGGTTGTAGTTTTTAAATCTTTCAGCACTGAACTTCTTCTTTATGGCTTCTCATAAAAAGTATGTTGCTTTTAAGCTGGGTGTGGTGGCACACGCCTTTAATCCCAGCACTTGGAGGCAGAGACAGGTGGATCTCTTTGAGGCTGGAAATGGCTCAGTAGTGAAGAGTATTAGCCGCTCTTTCAAAGTACCAGGGTTCAATTCCCAGGACCCACATAGTGGCTCATCTCTGCTTCTATCTCCAGTTCCAGGGAATCTGATGCCATCTTCTGGCCTATCTGGGCACCAGGCACACATGCAGGCAAAATACTCATACAGATTAGAACAAGAACAACAAAACCAAGAAGCTTGGAGGGGAGAGGGATCAGCAGGTGGCATTTTGGTCTCACTGTTGTCCAGCTTTTTTTCTTGTTTGGTTTTGAAAGTTTGGTGATGTCATCTCTTAACATGTGTCTCTTTGGGTTTATACTGTTTGTGGCTCACTCAGATTCTTGGATCTGCAGGTTTGTTTGTTTATTTTTTGAAGCACACATGGGGAAGTTGTGAGAACCTGTGTAAGAAAACTGTGACTAGGATGAGGTGACGCACACCTTTTATCCCAGCACTCAGGAGGCAGAGGCAGGAGGATCTCTGTGAGTTCGAGGCCAGCCTTGACACTCAGGCAGGGTGTCTTGTCACTGCTAGGTGGTATGGATGTCTTGGCTCTCCTCTGGCCCCCTGGTGTCCCTGTGGAGAACACCAGAGGCATTTCATTCCTGTGATAACCTTGGAATCTTCACAGGAAGGTGGTGTGTGAATGTGGTTACACCCGTGAACAGCACGAGGAAGTGGCCATCAAGCCTCACGCCTTTCAGGGCAAGGAATGGGACCCGAAGAAGCATGTCCACGAGATGCCTACAGATGCCTTTGGCGACATCGTTTTCACAGGCCTGAGCCAGAAAGTGGGGAAGGTGGGTTGCATTACACCCGGAGGGTGGGGGGAGAATGAGAGTGGGCATCTAGGGGCATGGAACCCATTACACACTGAGAAATGGCACAGGGTGCTGGGCGCTCTTCAGGCAAAAAGAGGGAGCAGAGGGAGGAGTACAGAGCTTCCTAAGGGAGGCATGAGCTCATTCTTTTTTTTTTTTTTTTTTTTTTTTTTTTTGGTTTTTCGAGACAGGGTTTCTCTGTGTAAATGCCCTGGCTATCCTGAAACTTACTCTATAGACCAGGCTGGCCTCGGACTCAGAGATTTGCCTGTCTCTGCCTCCAAGTGCTGGGATTAAAGGCGTGTGCCACCACCGCCTGGCTGTGAGCTCATTCTGAAGGGTCCACTGTCTTTTTGGGTCCAGGGGAATGAGGAGGAGAACTCAGGACCTAGCACGGATGTGGTTGGCTAATGAATGGTGGTGAGGGGAGATGATACAGCTGCAGGAGGAGGTCCTGTCCTGTCACGGGGCCTCAGGTCAGGAAGAGAGGCGTGGAGAGGTCTCACTCTTACTCAGAGCTACGAGAGGCAGAGCCATGGTGGGTTTGAAACCAGCTGATCCCTAGTCCAGGTTTCTAACCTGACAGCCTCCTGGCTCCAGCTGCTTCTCCAAGGACACTGACAGAGACAGTCCCAAGCCTGGGACAGTTAGTGGTGGGGGATAGTATTCTTGTTTTACCAGTGAGTGGGATACTTGTTGAGAACTTACAAGGTATGTCCCTTCCTGATTGTGTGTGTCACCTCCGTGTCATTTTCTTGTCCCGTGACAAAAGGCAGTTTCTAGAGGAAGGATTTATTATGGCTTATGGTTTGAAGAGATACAGTCCATTATGGTGGAGAAGACTTGATGGAGTTCCAGGTGCTTGAAGCTGCAGGGTGGGGGATGAGCCTGCTGGTTGCATCTTGGTGGGTCAAGAGATAGAGATAGCTAGAGAGATAGATGGGAGACGAGGAGGAAAGCTGGGCTGTCATCATTAAGTTCTGCTCCCTAGCAACCAGCAATCCACTTACTTCATCCAGAGGGTTCCACAGCATCTCAGTACCTCCAACTGGAGATCAGATGTTCAAACACATGAGCCTGTGGGGGAACATTTCATATTTCAATCGCAGCACCCGCAATGTGGGTCCACACCCCCTTTCCTTCTGGATTCATGTGATTTACAGTCTAAGAGCAAGACTGTGAGAAGGTGGTCCTGGACACCGGCTCAGCCCTGTGAGAACAGCCACTGTGAGGGCTGACGGGCAGTAGCCGCTGTGGTATCAGGTAGCATTCTTTTTTTTTTTTTTTTTTTTTTTTTTTTTTTCTTTTATCTGCAGTTATTTTATGCTGAATTTATTCCCGTGCCGTAAGTTTTTGTTTCTTCAGTTTCATCTGGGATATATTTTTCTTCTGTGCAACCTCCTCTTCTGGCTTTGGAACAATCTGTTCCTTTTCCATGAGGATCATTCGATGTGGCTGGGGGGAGCTTATGTTTGGGTTAATCCGGCCGTGAGCTCTGTAAATTCATCGAGGCATCTTAGGTGCTTTGTTCACCTGGATGTGTTCGATGACCAGAGAATCTACGTCTAGACCCTTAAGCCCAGCATTGCTCTCTGCATTTTTAAGCACGTGCAGCAAAAATTCAGCACTCTTTTTCAGCCACCAACCCTGTGTCCAACCCCACTGTTTGGCCTGGGCATACCTGCGACTCCACCATTGTACCGCCGGGATGGCACACATTTCTTCTTCAAAGTGACATCTTTCAGGCATTTGGTGGCTTTTTGGATATGCATACCGTTGATGGTTTCACAGGTATTCTTAAAGTGAACCCAGAGATTTGAACCTCTTGACTTGCATGATTTTGTAGGGTTTTCTGGGTCGAGAGAGTAGCGAACCATCTTCACAGGTTACCTCAGGTCACTTACAGGAAGAGGAAGTGCAAGGGCTATTGGGAGAATTCATCACATAGCATTCTTTTTTGTTGTTTGGCTGAGTCCTGTTTGCTCTGGAGACTCCTAATGTCCCTTTGGATTTGTGTTGTCCTGCCCATTATGGGCCCTTCAGGTAGATCCTAGTCAAGCTGGATTTCCTTACACAGTTGATGTAACCAGAGTGGAAAAGTCTACTATGAGATGTGGGCTTCAGTGTTTGCTTGGCATAGATGGGTCTCTGGGTTCCATATCCAGTGTGTGCGAGCAAATGCATGCTTGCACACATGCACACATGCACATGCTCGTACACACACACACACACACACACACACACACACACACACACACACTAAGTCCACCAGGAGCTTAGGATGTTCTGGAGTGTGAAGCCAGGGGGCTTCCCTCTCCTTCCCACCCAGGGCCAGACAATGTGTACACCAAGCAGGGCCAGCAGAGGGTGGCCAAAACCGGGAGTGTGAGAACAGGATGCAGATGGGATAGAGGTTAAACCACAAGGAGGAACCGTTGCAGAGAGAGGAGGTGGCATAAGGAGGGTGTTTGTGGGTGGTGGTCTGAGGCGCTCCCTAAGCAGAGAGAAAGTGGAAAGAGGAAGTCTGGTAGAGAGAGCTGGGCCTAGGGGCTTTGTAAATAATAGTCTGGTTTTACTTAGGGAGCCCCTGTACTTGGGTCTCTCCTCTTTCTTCTTACAACTCATGTCTTGACTATCCAGTGAAGGCTACTTTTCTTCCTGGGTGAGCTCAAGGTGTTCAGCCCCAGGCTGAGATGTGATAGAATATTATTTTCAGGTGTGTGACTTTTGTTTATGCTGTATTTGTTTAACTCCGTGAAGCTGTGTTAGTGTGTCTGTGTAAAACACCTGATGGCCCTAATAAAGAGCTGAACAGCCAATAGCAAGTCAGGAGCAAGGATAGGTGGGGCTGGCAGGCAGAGAGAATAAATAGGAGGAGAACAGAGGAGGGGCAACAGAACAAGGAAAGGTGGGTGCTGGAGCCCGGCCACCCAGCTACCCGGCCACCTGGCTACCCAGCAATCCATGGAGTAAGAGTAAGATCTTCAGAAGCAAGAGAACAGGAAAGCCCAGAGGCAAAAGGTGGACGGGTTAATTTAAGAAAAGCCGACTAGAAACTAGCCAAGATAAGGCAGTGCATTCATAAGTAATAATAAGACTCTGTGTGATTTACTTGGGAGCTGGGTGGAGGGCCCCGGCCTCAGAAGACAAAAGAATAAAGAATAAAAAACCCAACACTGAGCAGGCAGGGCACAGGTGACCCCACTCTGTTGAAGTCATTCTCTCAAGGTTCCTTCATTGTCTTCTGCAGGGTTCCCTGTAGGGTTCCCTCGCCCTGCAGGGTACCCTCATTGTCACTGCAGGGTGACCTGTGCCTTGTAGGGTTTCCTTGCTGTGTCTTCTGCAAGGCGCCCTCACCAGCTCATGATTCCCCTGCAGTATGTCCGGGTCTCCCAGGACACGCCCTCCAGTGTCATCTACCAACTCATGACCCAGCACTGGGGCCTGGATGTCCCCAACCTCCTCATCTCAGTGACTGGTGGGGCCAAGAACTTTAAAATGAGGCTGAGGCTGAAGAGCATCTTCCGGAGGGGCCTGGTCAAGGTGGCCCAAACCACAGGTGAGTGACATGAGCATGTTCCTTGATGCCCAGCTGCCTCTCAGCCCACACTATGTATAAACTGATGTTTATAGTCGCATAGCCACTGCTAGATTTTTTTTAATGGATTTATTTTTACTTAGCGCCTGCATACCTGCATGTCTGTATCTGTGTCCATGTCTGTCTCTCTCTCTCTCTCTGTGTGTGTGTGTATGTATGTGTGTGTGTGTGTGTGTGTGTGTGTGTGTGTGTGTGTATAAGCTACATACGCTCCAATGCCTGTGGAAGACAAAAGATGCCATTGGATCTACTGGAGCTGGAGTTACAGATGGTTGTGAGCCTCCTGACATGGGTGCCAGGAACAGAACTTAGGTTCTCTGGAAGAGCAGCCAGTACTCTTAACTGCTACTGAGCCATCTCTCTGGACCCTAGGTTTTATTTTAATGTCAGGAGAGGCCTGCAGAGAGAAGATGGGAGTCTGTCCCATTGTCATCTTTGCAATGTGGGTGCTCAGGTCTCAGAAAGTCATCAGGAAGATACTGTCACAGCAGAGTGTCTCCTCCTTAATCCTGCTTTAGAGACGTATCTGCCGATAGACTTGAGAGTCGGATGATGAAGTCCCATGCTAGGAGCACAGTGGGACTCTGGGTGTCAGTACTGACTTGGCAAGATGCACATTGGAGCCTAGAGGCAAGGTCTGTCTCTTTCCCCAGGGGCCTGGATCATCACTGGGGGGTCCCACACTGGTGTGATGAAGCAGGTGGGTGAGGCGGTACGGGACTTCAGCCTGAGCAGCAGTTGCAAAGAAGGAGACGTCATCACCATTGGTGTAGCCACATGGGGCACCATCCACAACCGAGAGGGGCTGATCAATTCCAAGGTGAGTAGTTACTCCAGAGTGAGCCTGGGTCAGAGGAGGAAGGCTGGGAGCAGAGGGAGAGAAATCCAACTCTTTACAAAGACTGCAGGGAGCGTGCTGGGTGGTAGCATGAGTGTGTGTGGGGGGGAGTGGTGCTGCAGGGCACAGTTCTGACTAAGGTAGTATAATACCTCAGATACAGTGAGCAGTGTGGGCAGCTAACATGGACAGACTTAAGATTACAGGAGGGGCGTATGCAGAGATGGCTCAGAGGTTAAGAGTGCAACTGTTCTTCCAGAGGTCCTGAGTTGAATTCCCAGCAACCACATGGTAGTTCACAACCATCTGTTATGAGATCTGGTGCGCAAATATACATGGAAGCAGAATGTAAATAAATAAATACATAAATAAATAAATAAAATCTTTTTAAAAAAGAAAGTTCTTTTTAAAAATAAGATTACAGGAGGGGTCCATGTGCTGATTCCCAGCTGGGGGTGCATCCCAAGAGTTGCTTTGTTGAGAAATGGGCTTTGAGGAAGGGAGTGACTGACCAGGACCACACAGCCAAACAAGCATTGGGGTTAGACTGAGCCAGCTATTTGGCCACAAAGCATGAGCTTTGAGCTTTAAACACCTATGCTCAGAGGCCTCCAGCCTGGATTTCCACACAACTGTCGTTTCTGGCAGTCAGCAGCAAGTTGGGCTGCCCTTTAATGCTACACCCAGAGCTTGGCTCAGCAGCTGCTTAAGAATGGAGACTTGAGTTTGTAACTCGGTTCACTAAGTGGGGTTTTCTAAGGATACATTAGATCTGTCCTAATGAGGACACGGATGTTTCATTTACTGTCAGGGAAATCTGGGGACAATATAGTCTGTGACTAAAGAAAGTTTCTTGTCACTGCTGACAAGCGTGTGCCTGGCCCATCGGACAGTCTCCCTGGCTCAGCCGTCCTTTGCCAGACACAAAGGACAATGTTGGTCTTTCTTTTGTGTCAGAATCATGGAGTGTCTCCCTGGGTAGGATGGACTAACTGTTCAGAACCCTCTGGTTGTTACACTGTTCCATTCTCTGTGGACAGTAGAGAAGGTGTGTGGTCCAGCCCGTTAGTCTCTTTGGGGGGTGCTGTGAAACATGGCCACAAACCTGGTTGCAGAAAAAAACTAATTTATCTATCTATATTTAGATGTTACTTTCCCGCAGCATGGACACCTTATCACGTAGCTCCAATGAAGATGAGGCTCTACACTATTCTGGGGGCTCTGATGAGGAACCTTCCCACCCTTTTAACTTCTGTTGTTTCTGGGAGTTCCTGGGGGCCCCATCCAAATAATTCAGGTTAATTTTCTCCTGTTTAGATCCTTAAACATCACAGTTGCAAAGGCCCTTTGTTTAGATAAGGGGCACTACTAGCAGATTCTTGGTCTTAGAAATTGGTGGGGTTTTTTTTGGGGGGGACATGATCCAAGCCATTAGACTCCCCCATTTCCAGAATTCAGGTATAACTTTTTACCGACCTGTGTGAGTCTCCCCTGGTCATCCACAGGGAGGTTTCCCCGCTGAGTACATGCTGGATGAGGAAGGCCAAGGAAATCTGACCTGCCTAGACAGCAACCACTCCCACTTCATCCTGGTGGATGACGGGACCCATGGCCAGTATGGTGTGGAGATCCCCCTGAGGACAAAGCTGGAGAAGTTCATATCAGAGCAAACAAAGGAAAGAGGAGGTAAATATGCTTCTGAGGGCATCTGGGGCAGAAAGAACCGGGGCTGTCCCTGTGTCAGAGCCACAGCCCGCCACGGCCTGTGTTGTACGTGAAGGTGAGATCACAACACACCCGTGTTGGTTTCCTGGGTCCCTGTCTGCTGCTTCATGGGGACCTGTCTTCTCTTGCTGCCATGATCAGCGGAAGGGTGTCGGTGCAGGCTTGTCTGTTTGCTGACAGTTAACAGAACCATCTACATGTCCAACTAGAGACAGTTTCAGGCTGGGAAGTGAGGAGATGGCAGTTTGACTCACAGCTTGTGGGGAGAGGGGTGGGAGCACCTAGTGTGAGAGGTGTGAGGAGCGGCACAGGGAGCACGGGGAGGGTTCCGGCTCAGCACCTGGGTTGTTTGGGATGATTCTGGGCAGCATGTTTCAAGCTTCTCTGTGCTTCCTGAATCGGGGTCCCCAGTGAGGCTGATCATTACCGTCCTAAAATCACCTCCCCCAGGGCTGGATGGCATAGAACTTGCATACCATTAAGTTCCCAGGGGGATGTGTTACCTGTGTAGGGACCACACTGGGAGAGCACTCTTTTGACTAGGAGAACCCAGGGTGAGGTGTATGAAGGCAGGGACTTTGTTGGCACTGGTGGGGGGGGGCAGCTTTGTTGCCCAGGGGAAGGGACTCCTCATGTTACCTCTATTTCTCTTGCCTTCTGGGTGGGGTTGAGTAGAAGGGCAGAAGACTCATAATCTGTGCCCCACCCCAGCCCAAGCCAGATGGGACAGTCCCCTCCTAGAGGTTCCTTGGGCCAACTTGGATTCTGAGGTACCATAAAAAGAGCAGCAGAGAAAGGCAGGCTGGCTAGAGTGGTCCACTGGGTAGAGAGGATGGGGTTCTGTTCTTGCTCTTTCTGTACAGGAATTCAATCAGGATGGGATAGGATGCTGGTGGAAAGATGGAGGGGGCAGTCAGGCACAAGATTAGGGATGTGGTAGGAGCAGGGGAAGGGGGAGTGGCCGGGGGGAGGGGCAGGGAGAATGGTCGGGGATAGGAGTGGGGCAAATGGCCAGGTGGTCTTGGGTTTGCTATTTTATGGTCCGTGAGCATTTGCAAGCCATCATCGTTTGCCTTTAGCAGCTGCCCATTATCTACCACTCGGCCAAGCAAGTGCTTCCCACATGACTAGGGTGGAGTTGGTTGGGTGAAGGAAGTGGCCTCAAACAGTAGGTCTGTGCTTCCCCCCAATATGCCTTCCCACGGACTCCATGTCTGCCTAGGTGTGGCCATCAAGATCCCCATTGTTTGCGTGGTGTTGGAGGGCGGCCCTGGAACCCTGCATGTGAGTAGAAGCTGTTGTGCGTCATGGGGCTCAGGCCCCGTTGTGGAGGAAGGACTGGTGGACGCCTCCGCTAAAAATCTGGCACCTTCACTGGGAACACACATGGCATGCTGTCCTCAGTATATGGAGGGGAGGGAAGCCACCACAGGACAGGGATGTTTCCAGGTGGGAAAGGACACACCCAATGGGTAGACCCTCACGTGGGAGAGGTGGCCTGGCTTTAGCCCAGGTCATGGTGGGGTTGCTGGTTCTCTTCTCCCAGAGAACTCTCCAGAAGGCTTTCACCCAGTGTCCCAGGCACTGCTCTCAGATTACAGACCCCGGCTCCAGTCCAGCTCCTGGAGCTAAAATCTGGAGTTTCCTCATGGTCCTTGTACCCCTGGGCTTTGGTCATTCAGGGTCCACACAGCATCCCCGTGAGTGGGTCTGGTCAATGACTGCGCCGTGAACCCATTTGCTACAGTGCTATTGGGTGTTAAGTGACAAGCCTGAGTCAGGTGTATCAGTGGCACACTCCTTGTGTGTCAACAACAGCTCTTTTGCCTCTTGAAGAATGGCATGCACTAAACCAGTGAGGGCTTCTGGAAAGTTCCAGCTTCATAGGCTCACTCTAGTAGCAAGTGGCATGCCGCCTTAGCTGTCACTGAATGATGCTGTATTTCAAACACGTCAGAGCTGGGTGAGGACTCTGGCCACCTCACACTTGGTTCTGGTTTTGCAGACCATCTACAACGCCATCACCAATGGCACGCCCTGTGTGATAGTGGAGGGCTCCGGCCGAGTGGCTGACGTCATTGCCCAGGTGGCTGCTCTGCCTGTCTCTGAGATCACTATCTCCCTGATACAGCAGAAGCTCAGCATCTTCTTCCAGGAGATGTTTGAGACTTTCACTGAAAGCAGGATCGTGGAATGGACCAAAAAGGTAAGACATAGGGGCTTACAGTTACCAGGCTGACTCCCAGACAGACAGACCAGGACTCCAGGGACCTGAAGTGAGTCAGAGTGGGTGCATGGCTGAATTTGTAGATGGCAGAAAACTTTGAGCCCCAGGACAGGCAGGGCCTCCTGGTTGGGCACTGGAAGGTTGAAGCATCTGACAGACATCATGCCAAAGGAAAGCTGAGGTTTGAACTCTTATTTGCAGAATATAGGGCTGGGCTGGAACATCTCAGAACTTGAGTGTGTTGTTCTGGGACCCAGAGCATGTTGGACTGGAGGGTTGTGGTGCTTGCGGGGGGAGGGGGGACCAGGAGGCACTGCAGCAGGAGGGGCCTTGGTTGGGATGCCAGTGGCAGAGTTTACGGGCCACAGCAATGAGTGGCACCACATGGTCCAGCCTTGTCTCCTCATAAGAGCACTAATGGAGCGGTCTCAGAAGTGCTCATCTCCCCAGTCCTGAAGCTGGGTTTTGCGGTGGTGTCTTGATGAGTTCTGCAGAGTGTGCAGTGAGTGTCTGTACCTTTGGTCCCAGAGCTCAGAGCTCATCCTCAGAGTTTTTATAGCATATGAGTGTGAGAAGTGTTAGCTTCCGCTGAGCTGAATTTAGGTCCCACCAGCCACAAGCCAAAGGAACACACTGGAGCTAGGCACAATGGACTATGACTCATGAGGGGCTTGGGCTGTGGCTGGACGATGGAGAACGATGAGTCCTCTGAAGGGGTGGCTCAGGGAAGCATGGAGACTCATTTAAATTTGCCAAGGACTCAGAGTGGCCTTGTTTGGTGTGGATGCTCTGTGAGATTATCTGGCAGGGAAATAACATAAATTTGGTGAGATTCTCATCCCTTCCCCACTCCCCACTCCCAAAGGCCTTTGCTTGCTTGTCCAGTGCTTTGAGCTGTTGGGTAGGCCGGGAGCCTTTTCTCAGCAACGTTATGAATTATTCAGGCAATTCAGAGAACTGAGTTTAATCTCTTTGTTCAAGAGTATTTTTGTTACATTTATTGTGTGTGTGTGTGTGTGTGTGTGTGTGTGTGTGTGTGTGTGTATACACTCAGGCTCACACACTGGTGTCACAATGCACACACATCATGGGGCAGTTGGACAACATTTTGTGCAAGTCAGTTCTTTCTTCTACTCTATGGGCCCTAGGAGATTGAAGTCAAGTCATCAGGTTTGCTGGCAAGCGCCTTCCTAGCTGAGCCTGCACAGACTGGGGAGTGTGGTTCCTTGTTGGGACCTCAGTCCCTTTTGTCTTTCAAGGAGGCAGAATACCTTAACTCTGGGTCTCACTGGCAACCATTTGCTGCAGATCCAAGATATTGTGCGGAGGCGGCAGCTGCTGACGGTCTTCCGGGAAGGCAAGGACGGGCAGCAGGATGTGGATGTGGCCATTCTGCAGGCTTTACTGAAAGGTGAGACTGTGAGCAGGGGGAAAGCAGAGACCAGGACAAGTGTGCTCATGATAAATGACAGCATCTCAGTCAGATGCTCTGGCCAGAGAGTGCTGCACTGGGCCATCACTGTAAACCTTTGAAACACAGCAAATTCCAGTAAGGTGAATGCAAACAGACCCATGCCAGTCCCATTACAGTCAAGCTTTTCGAAGACAGGAAATCTTGAGAATAGCAAGGAGAGGTGGGGGAGGAATTAAGATATTCTTAGAGAAATAGAAGCACAGGGAATTTATAAGCACTAGATCTGAGTTATAAGAAGTGCTCAAGGGAGCCAGCAGGGTGAATGCAAAGAACACCAGATAGTGAGAAAGGAGACACTGTAATCACGCCTCCTAGGGAGTGGCTACAGGTGTGCCTGACCATGCCTGTGAGGGTGTGGTCAGGGTGATGTGGGGAAGGTTTAAGAGTGAGGGGGCAAGCACGTGGAAGCCCCTTCTTCCTTTTCATCATGGGCTTGCTGTACTTACTCTGTGCCCTGCTGGCTGGCCAGGTTGCTCTGTAAGTAAGGCATCTCCCTAAATAAATACCCTTATATCTTTACCTGGCTCCGTGTTGGTAATTCTCTCACTAATAGTGACTCAATGTCATATGAAGGAATAAAAGTCTCAAACAGGCAAGTGTACGGGCAGTTATGAAAGCTGTGTCATTGTAACAGTGGCTTAGAATCACAGTGTTTGATTTCTTCACTACATCAGAGGTTAAGACAGGTACAATTACCAGTCTAAAAGCTAGTATTCTAAGCAAGAGATTCACTGCCAAGTTCAAGGCCAGGCTGGTCAAGATTAACCTGGGGAGCCTGCAAGATAGCTTGCAAAACATCACAACAGCAAACTCCAATTACAAGAGGGACTTAGAGTAGACAAGTGTAGAGGAAGAGGTGGAGCCAGGGCCAGAGATGGGGCTGAGGAGGGGCCAGGGAAGGCTCTGGGGAAGGGTTTTATGTGACATTGTTCCTGGGGATCTGAACAAACATCTACTCACCCCAGACAGGGAACCAATGACAGACCAAAGTACTACTGCCACCAAGCTCCACCTTGTGCAGTCATGGGGACCCTGGTTCTGATCTCCAACTCCTGAGCATGCGTGAGTGCATGCGTGCGTGTGTGTGTGTGTGTGTGTGTGTGTGTGTGTGTGTGTGTGTTTGTTGGCTTTTGGAATTCTGTTTTACAAGTTAGTGTAAATGAATGCTTTTTAGAAACCTGTATCTTCTTTTACTGTGAATTTTCCCCTTATGCTGTGACCCACCTGTCACAGAGGGGCAGGGCATGGCTGGGAAACGACCCAGGGTGAGGAAATGGGGTGAACTAAAGTGATGGCCAAAACCCTGAGATTCTCTAACAACACATGAAAAGTACTTTACAAAGTGGGTGTCTCAGGGAGGGCGTCACCACTAAGCTCTGAGTTACACTTTAAATTATTAAGGGAACTAGAGTCCCCAACCAACCCACAAGTTCCACACCAAGCCTCCCGTAGAGACACCTGACACACACTTTCACCCACAGCCTCTCGAAGCCAAGACCACTCTGGCCATGAGAACTGGGACCATCAACTGAAGCTGGCCGTGGCGTGGAACCGTGTGGACATTGCTCGCAGTGAGATCTTCACTGATGAGTGGCAGTGGAAGGTGAGGCGTCTGTGTAAGTGTGTGTGTGTGTGCGCGTGCATGTGTGTGCATGTGCATGTGTGCATGGGTGTGTGTGTGTGTGTGTGTGTGTGTGTGTATGTAGGGTTCCAGCCCTGCCTTGGGAATTCAGTGACCATGTGTGTGTGTGTGTGTGTGTGTGTGTGTGTGTGTCTGTGCGTGTGTGCACACATGTGCATGTGTGTGTGAAGGGTTCCAGCCCTGCCTTGGGAATAGTGATCGGGGTGGATTCCATCCTTGAGGAGCGAGGTCAAAGGCGCTCCTTGTAGGGTCCTGAGCTCAGAACTCTAGTTGGTGCTGACCTAGCGTGACGGTCACTGAGCACTGCTCCCTCTCAGCCTGCAGATCTGCACCCCATGATGACAGCTGCCCTCATCTCCAACAAGCCTGAGTTCGTGAGGCTCTTTCTGGAGAATGGTGTGCGGCTGAAGGAGTTTGTCACTTGGGATGTTCTGCTCTGCCTGTACGAGAACCTGGAGCCATCCTGCGTCTTCCACAGCAAGCTGCAGAAGGTGCTGGCGGAAGAGCACGAGCGCCTGACCTGTACGTCCACTGCATCCCGGCTGCACATGCACCACGTGGCCCAGGTGCTGCGTGAGCTCCTGGGGGACTCCACACAGCTGCTGTACCCCCGGCCCCGGTACAGTGACCGGCCACGGCTCTCGCCCATGTCACATATCAAGCTCAACGTGAGTGGTGGTGATTTGTGTGCTAGTGATGTGGTTGCTGGTGTCGGGGTGCAGTGTCACGCTGGTGATGTGCAAAGCCTGGCTCCTTGGTGGGTGGCCGCTGTGTCCTCAGCTGTGTTATGAGCTCTTATGTTCATCAGAAAAGGAATTGCTGTGTGTGCGTGTGCGTGCGCGTGTGCTTGCACGTGTGCATGCCTACAATTTCAGCTCTCAGGAGGCTGAGGCAGGATGATAAAGAGTACAAAGCCAGCCTGGGCTACATAGTAAGGTAGTCACAAAGCGAGAGAGAGAGAGAGAGAGAGAGAGAGAGAGAGAGAGAATTCAAAACCAACTGACCAAACAAACTACCCCAAAGCAATGGGCTCTGCCCTGTATCCTGAAAGGCATGGACTGTGTGAAACCCTGCAGATCCAGGGCTTAGACAATAGCAACTCATTTTCTCACAGTCCTGGAGACTGAAGTCTGAGGACAGTGACAGGGCTGGTTCCTGCTGAGGCCCCTCTCCCTGTCCTGCAGGTGGGGGCTCTTGCTGAGTCTTTACATGCGAAGAGTGGGAAAAGGGAAGCCCCCCAGGAACCTCATTTTGATTTAATTACCTCCAGAAATGTCGATAGTAGTTATTTTTCTCACTGAGACCAAGTACCCCCAGAAAGCATGCTTTGGGAGGGGATCTTTGTTTTGACTCCGTTCCAGTGTACATCTTTTTTCCTCTAACGTGGGTGGAGGGGATCTGAACTCAGGTTTATGTGGCAAACTCTTTCCTGCTGAGCCATCTCCTCAGTCCCCAATCTCAGAATTACTAAGTTTCCAAGAGTGAAATGTGCTGTCTCTCTATGACTGCACAAGGCAGGACACACATTGCCCACCATTTTGGGGTTCTGATACTGGGGGCCTCTATGGGACATGGACTGTCCTCTGCCTACAGGTACAGGGGATGAGCCTCCGGTCCCTCTATAAGCGATCAACAGACCATGTTACCTTCACCATTGACCCAATCCGCGACCTTCTCATTTGGGCCATCATCCAGAACCGCCGGGAGCTGGCGGGCATCATCTGGGCTCAGGTACCAGGACTGGCTTAGTTGCAGACATGACAATGTTTAGACTGGTGATCTGAGTCAGGGGCTCACTTCCTTCAGCAAATGTGGTTCATGGTTGTGCAGGGACAGTAAGGTCTCTAACCTATGGAGTCTCAGAGCACCCAGTGGTGGGGAACAAAAACTTTGGTGGGAAAATAATTCTTAAAGAAAGAAGGGCTGGAGAGATGGCTCAGAGGTTAAGAGCACTGGCTGCTCTTCCAGAGTTCAAGTCCCAGCAACCACACAATGGCTCACAACCATCTTTAATGAGATCTGGTGCCCTCTTCTGGCCTGCAAGCAGAATACTGTATTCATAATAAGTAGATCTTAAAAACAAAACAAAAAAAATTAAATAAAAACTGACATTTAAAAAAATAAAGAAAAGGAAAGAAAGCTAAAGGCCCTCTTGGCTGTTGGGCTGAGGATGTGGGCAGTGTTGTTCTCTGTGACCTGCCCAGATCTTGCCATCTCCTGTCTGTTCATTATACCTGTTAGGGAGATGAGCTCATGGTACTCATAGCTCAGTACAAGAGGCCACCATCAGAGGGGCTATGTGTTAATGTGGGCTAACTCTAGTTGTTTATATGGACAGTCCATCTCTGCAAACTTCAGGTCCGAAGCATCTCTGTTTGTTATCATAAGTTTCTAGGTACAGGGTGGGTAAACCTAGTAGTCCCCCGGGTCCTCACAGTGGTCCTGTGCCCCAGAGCCAGGACTGTATTGCTGCAGCACTGGCCTGCAGCAAGATCCTGAAGGAGCTGTCCAAGGAGGAGGAAGATACAGACAGCTTGGAGGAGATGCTGGCACTGGCGGATGAGTTTGAGCACAGAGCTATAGGTGAGCTCCCCGGGGCACCTGCACCATCACCGTGTTCTCCATCTCTGTATGTCAATTCCAATACTGTTGCCTAGAGTCCCTGCACATGACCTGGATGTTTTGGGACAGTACTTATGTGTTAGTCTTACCCTACGTCCTGCCTTTGCTGAGGGTCCCTTTGCTGGCTTTCCGGTCATCCCAGTTGCTATCTCTTCTCCCCCTGCTCAGGCGTCTTCACTGAGTGCTACCGGAAGGATGAGGAGAGAGCGCAGAAGCTTCTTGTCCGTGTGTCAGAGGCCTGGGGGAAGGCCACCTGCCTGCAGCTGGCCCTAGATGCCAAGGACATGAAATTCATGTCTCATGGAGGCATCCAGGTGACTCCCCAAGGGCCCACTTCCAGGATCAGGTTCCCCCGGGGGCGGGGCAGGGGCACAGCCCTGCCTCTGATGACATGGCTGTTCCCAGCAGTGTGACTCTTTGAAGACTGGGATAGTGCCAAGCCATATCCTGATGGACAGGCACTTGCCTCCTGGTTTGGGGATGGGGAAACTGGCACACAGACAAGGAGGTGGCCGGTGGGTATGGAGGCAGCTGCTCAAACGTCAGGTGGCCCCCAGTGTACTTTCTAAGAGCTCGCATCATTGGGGGAGCTTCAGGAAGCACAGGGGGCAGTCTGGCCTTCATGGAACATTAGGGACTATGGAACATATTCCCTTATTACTTGTGTATCTGTGGAGCCCAGCCGCATGCTGTTACCCTGCCCATGGGACTCCATGTGTCCTGGGATGTGCAGAACCCAGAGACACCCAGGGAGGAACTAAACCCTGCCCCATGGTGCCAAAAATGGTATGCTTGTTATGACATCTTGGGACTGCATGGCTTCAGGACCTTGTGGAGATTGGGGGTCCTGAAGCTGGAGGAGGGATGGCAGGCAGGAGCGGAGTCAGAGCCCCATGTGATAAGCCGTGTTTATCCATCAGTTATCGTATGCCATGGCCTGGCTCCAACCTCCCAAAACCCTGATTGTTCTGCTGGCTGACAATGGGGTGCCTGACATACTGGCCACCTGTGACTAGGGGTTCAGGGCACAGTTATTAGGGGGATGTGACTAGCACTCATCCTTGGTGGCTGGGGGCTTGGGTGGGGGTCAGGCTGCTGGGTGCCCACTGGCCTGAGACCACCCTGTCCACAGGCCTTCCTGACCAAGGTATGGTGGGGCCAGCTCTGTGTGGACAACAGCCTGTGGCAGATCATCCTGTGCATGCTGGCCTTCCCACTGCTCTTCACCGGCCTCATCTCCTTCAGGTGAGGGGGAGGGGCCTGGGATCCTAGAATGTGCAGGAAGTAGAGGGGGCACCCGCCAGTCCTCAGTACCACCTTGGGTCAAACTCTTCCGTGCCCTGAGTTTTCTGCTGGATACTGGAGGATGGAGGAGCTGATGAGCCTGTCTTTGGGCCTCTTCTCCATAGCAACAGGGAGCATGGGGTAGATAGGGTACCCTTGGTGCTGCAGCCAGGCTGGGTGGAGGACTGAAGACCAGGTGTGGCTGTGCTTCACTAGTGGTCTCTGCAGAGCACAAGGGCTCTTGCTAAGATGCCATTTCTATTTTGCTAGATAGCATCTCTGGGTTCCCTGGGAGTTTAGGGGCAGATACCAAGCCCAAGACCAGGTGGCCAGTGGCAAGCTCTTTCCTAGCCACAGGCCATATGCTCTATCACCTTCTCATGTCCTAACTGTTGGGGATGTGTCCTAAGGGAAACGGAGGAGCAGCTCGGGTACTAAAGCAGTTTCAGTCTGCCCTACTTTCTGGACTCCCACCCTGCACAGACCCAGGAGGACCAGATGTCAACCTCACATCCTTCCAGGAGTCATGGGCAGTGCCATGTGATCTTGGTAGTGCCTCCCCTTCCCTGAGAGGACAGAGCTGCACCTGTGTTTCTAGTAGAAGCTGTGACAAGAGGTTGCATATTAGATAGTGTCCACGTGGGGACTTGGTCCCGCTGTTGGACTAACCTTTATGACAGTAATGGCGGCTGGTCCCCATTTGTGGGGGCACTTGAGGCCTGAGAACTCCAGTTAAGAACTAATGCTAAGAGCACAGCACAGGGGACCTAAACCAGGTTAGGCTTACAGCTAGGCATCAGCCCTAGATAGGAACTGTGAGGGTCACAGTTCAGCAGGATGCAGAGACTTGCTTCCTGGCCTTTTGGGTCTGTGCAAGGTTTGGAGTCTTTAGTGCCAAGGCTGTTGTGCTGGCTTGTCTAGAACTGCTATGCAACTTTGGGTACCAGGCGAGGTGTCCCTTTCCTAGAATATTTGCGCCTTGGGTCACATCTCTCGCAGGGTAAGTGGGGATCCTGGGGACCAAAGTCTGCGAGATATTGGGTTTTCAGTCTGTCACAGTCACCCGATGTGTCTATTGCAGGGAGAAGAGGCTACAGGCCCTGTGCCGCCCAGCCCGCGTCCGTGCCTTCTTCAACGCACCTGTGGTCATCTTCCACCTGAATATCCTGTCCTACTTTGCCTTTCTCTGCTTGTTTGCCTACGTGCTCATGGTGGACTTCCAGCCCTCACCGTCCTGGTGCGAGTACCTCATCTACCTGTGGCTGTTCTCCCTGGTGTGCGAGGAGACACGGCAGGTACTCACCACTCCTATACCAAGTGTCTGTTACCACCGAGCCTCACCCTGGCCCCTGGGAGCTGGGCACCCATTCCTCCACCTGGGATTCTTGCCTCCATGGCCTGGCTGCTCTGCCTAAGGCTGGGCTTCTAGACCTTTCCCAAGCAAAGCACTCACAACTGACAATGTCCAGTTATGTGTGGCCCAAGTTCCCCCAGGCACCTAGTCACATTCTGTGACCACCTTTGAGTAGGTGTGTCTCCCCATATTGTCAAGTGTGGGGCCCTGTGTGATCGTTTGCAAAAGACTCGGGCTGATGGAGAACCATGAACATGGTATGGTTCATTCCAGAAAGGGGCTCTTCCAGAAAGAGTAAAATACAGAGGTGTACCCATCCACCCAAGGGCTGTTGACCCAGACCATCCAGAGGTCCCTTTCCTGAGGCAGGGGCAGAACTTGATTCTCCCTGCAAGAATGTATAATGACATTCAGGGCCAGTGCCACCCAGGCAGCTTCTGCAAACTGCAGGGTCCAGGGTTTATCCTGAGGTCAGTCACACAGATGGCTCTGTCCTCCTGGCTGATCTGACTCTAGCCCCTCTAGAGGTTGAACTAGTCCTGAGTGGCCTATATGACTACCTGGACTGGCTCACATCCTGATGAGCAGGACACTACTGTAAGGCTGGATGTCCCAGGGACTTGAGGCCCCCTCCAAGGACAAAGGCTTGCATGACCATTGAGCAGACCAACCTTTCACTGTGTTAGCTTCCCACTTTACCCCTGTGGTACCAGCTGACATTGGGTGGACACCCTGCCTGTTGGGAGACCCAAAGAAGAAAAAGGAGAGCCCAAGAGAGAACCACAGGGCTGAGGGCTTGATGGAGCTGGGGCAATGCTGAGGTCCTGGTACTCTGAGCCTCCTCAGCCACTGTAGCCAGCCCCTCCATGGGGTCAGAGCTTCTGTGTCCCCTGAACTCACCTCACATGGCAGCCCAAGATAGAGAACATGTGTGTCTCCTAGAATCTGTCCCTCAGGCCCAGGGAAAGGACATGCCTGACCATGGCAGTTGGAGGTGAGGATCCTCCCGCCAGGCAGGATGTGAGGGTCCTGGGGTCTCCTCTAGGCCCCTCCTTCCAGGCCTGTGTCCGGAAGCAGGAATCATTCTGAACAGAGCAAAGATCCTTGTGGGAGGTGCTGGCATGGAGGTTCTCCAGAACACACATGCATTCATACAGAAGCGCGCGCGCGCGCGCGCGCGCGCACACACACACACACACACACACACACACACACACACACCACACAGGCTTAATAGGACCCCTGGTTCATGAGAGACTAGCAGTGAAGTGTGGCAGGCACTTACTCTGCTCATGCTGTTTGTTCCTGGACTTGAGTGCAGAGGTCCACCCTGTGTCCCGCTGGCCCCCACCACAGTCAAGCTCTGCCCACAAAGGGCTTTGTCAGTGTGACGCTGATGGAGATGGCGTCCTCCCCTAACTGTGGTCTCCTCGGTAGCTCTTCTATGATCCCGATGGGTGTGGGCTGAAGAAGGTGGCGTCCCTGTACTTCAGTGACTTCTGGAACAAGCTGGATATTGGTGCCATTCTGCTCTTCATAGCAGGACTGACCTGCCGGTGAGTGGCCAGGGTACCCCTGCCTTCTTCCTGAGGGGCACCTGGACCCAGCCAGCTTAAGACAGGTAGTCTCTGAACCCTGACTCTTGCCTGTCTGTGGGTACAGTGATGGCTGGGACCATGCCTGGCCCTGGCCCTGGCCCTGGCGGAGAAGGGGTGTTGGGCTGTGTGGCTGCTCTTTGTCCACCTTGGGTTTCTGTCACACATGTAAGGGGCACCAGTCATTACTGTTTGTCTCAGCTTCCCAGACAGTGTCCTCTTCGCCCCTCCCTGCTGGGTTACATCCCACTCATGACAGCTTGTGTATTTGAGAGGTGGTGGCCCTCTTTCTTCTTGAGGTGGGAGGGATATGGCCAAGGCTCCTTGATTGCTTCTGGGATGTCCTTGCACCTGGGTTTCTGGACTCTCCTGAAGCTGACTCCATTCTCCATGAACATTTTGCCCTTCATGTCATCATTGCCATTGACATATTTGGGCCTGCCTCCTCCAGAGCCCTAGGACTACCCCAGGCCAGGGAGAGAGAGGTTCTAGAAACTTGTGCCTTCTGGTAAACAGAGCCTGAGGTGGTACCTTGCCCACTGCCAGGCTCTTCCCAGTGACCCTGTATCCCGGGCGCATCATCCTGTCTTTGGATTTCATCATGTTCTGCCTCCGCCTTATGCACATTTTCACCATCAGCAAGACGCTGGGGCCCAAGATAATCATTGTGAAGCGAATGGTGAGGGCACGAGGGCTTACCTGGGAGGGGCTGCTGGGAGGGAAGCTGAGGGCTGTGCCCATCGTGAAAGAGGTAGATGGTACTAGAGCTTTCCATTCGTCCTGTGTCTTGCCTCTGCCTCATCCTCAGAATCTCTGAATGTCCCTCATCCTACTGTCTGGATGCCATCACCTCCAGGCTGCCTTGCCTGTTTTTCATTTCACAGCCCCAGCATGGACCCCATGGCTGCTCAGATGTGCAAGCCCTTTCTTCCTTGGGTTATCGTTGCCCAACCCCGTTCCACATCTTGGGGTGTTCCCTATGAAGATGTCAGTGTGCTCTTTGAGGTTGTGGGAGGCCCTGGGTTGCTCCCCAACATCCTGCATTCATGTTGGGATGAGAGCGGGAAGAGGAGAGACCCAGGAATGCAGCCCATCGCTTTCGTCTTTGCAGATGAAGGACGTCTTCTTCTTCCTCTTTCTCCTGGCGGTATGGGTTGTGTCCTTCGGAGTGGCCAAGCAGGCCATCCTCATCCACAACGAGAGCCGGGTGGACTGGATCTTCCGTGGGGTCGTCTACCACTCTTACCTCACCATCTTTGGGCAGATCCCAACCTACATTGATGGTAGGAGCCAGGTTGTGGGCACCCAATGGGCAAGTGGGGGGATAGAGAGAGAGAGAGTGGGGGAGCTTCCGAGGAATCTCTAAGAGTTCAAGGTTACGAGAGAGATGGGGTTCATTTCCAGCCAGGCTATGTGGCTTTCTAAGGACCAGGAAAGCCCAGGGCTCCATTGGGTCAGCTTGAACTGGATGCTAATAGTCCTCAACAGAGAGTGGAGAGGGCACCTGTATTTCCCAGTTGACGAGTGTGACAGCAGGAACTTAAGCTATGGCAGAGATGTATGGGGTGCAGCTGACAGAACACAGCATTAAAAGCCACCTCAGTCCCCTCTCCCTCGCCCCACTACAGTCAGAAAGACAGCTTTTCGGTGTGAGTGTGTGTGCATCTGTGCGTGTGTGTGAGCTTGAATGTGAGTTGTGTGTGAGTGCATGTGTGTGCATGTGTGTGAGTGCATGTGTGTGCATGTGTGTGAGTGTATATGCATGTGTGGTGGCCAGAGGACTACCTCAGGTGTCATTTCTTAGGAGCCATCCACCTTGTTTTTGTTTTTATTTTTTCCTTAATTTTATCTTATGTATATGAATTTGCGTTCATGTATGCTGTGCACCATGTGTGTGCATTTCCAAAGGAGGTCAGAAGAGAGTGTCAGATCCCTTAAGACTTGAGTTACAGACAGCCATGAGCCTCCATGTGAGTGTTGGGAATTGAACCCAGGTCCTTTGGGAGAGCAGCCAGTGCTCTTAACCACTGAGCTATCTCTCCATTCCCTCTTTTTTTTTTTTGAGACAGGATCTCTCATTGGTTTGAAACTTGCCTAGTTGGCTAAGCTAGCTGGGCAGAATCCCAGGGATCACCTGTTTCCTCCTTGGCACTGGTATTGGAAGTGGGAGCCATAACATCTGGCTTTTAACATGGGTTCTGGATTGAACTCAAGTTATGCTGCAAGGCACTTTACTGATGGAGCTAGTCTGCAGTCCCATGTGTGTCTTAAAACCAGCATCCTCAGGTAGATTTCCCACATCATAAGCTATCCACATGCAAGTGTCTTGTAGAAGCTAGCTTCAGACCCCTCCCCTTCAACAGTCACTGTCCTCTTCCCTCTGTCCTACAAAGCCACTCACCTTCTGCAGTCCACACATACTTGCCTTCCCTTATATTTCACACAAGCTAGACCTAAAGTGGCGTGGAGTTAGCTGGCCTTGTCACCCAGTGTCACATTTTCACGGTTCACTGGATAGGGTGTAGCAATTATGAGCACTTCATTCCATTTTATTGCTAAATTGTATTTCTCTGCATGGATGAGACACATTTTAGCTATTCATGAGCTGTGACCACTTGCACTCTTCCTGGGTTTTAGCTACTGTGGCTGCTGCTGCTGCTGCTGCTGCTGCTGTGAAATTTTTTTATGTTTTTGTGTAAGTGTGTTTAAGTGAGAAGTGCCAAACTCTTTCCACAGAGGCTATGCGTCCCAGTTTCTCCGTGCTCACCTCACACTCATTACTGCCTGGTGGGGGTCAGTGGTGTATCCTTGTGGCTTTGATTGACATTTCTGTTGTGGCTTCTGCTGAATGTGTTTTCATGTGCGTACTGGACCATTTGCACATCTTCTTAGGAGAAATGTCCATTTCTATTTTTTGCTCATTTCCCCCGCCCATTGTCATTTTTATTGTTGAGCTTTTAAGACTGTTAACATAGGATTAGTTTACAATATTTTCTATTATTACTGAGGTTGTCATTTTATTTTATTTAGGAAAAGATGCTTTCTTTGAAGCATAGAATTTTAATGAGGTGAAACTTGATTTTTTTAAAAAAATTTATTTATTTATTATGTATACAACATTCTGCTTCCATGTATATCTGCACACCAGAAGAGGGCACCATATCTCATAACGGATGGTTGTGAGCCACCTTGTGGTTGCTGGGAATTGAACTCAGGACCTCTGGAAGAGCAGTTGGTGCTCTTAACCTCTGAGCCATCTCTCCAGGCCCCTGAAACTTGATTTTTTAAGAATATCTTTTATGCCTCTGAGTCACAGTGGAGGAAACATCACTGAACCCAAGGCTCAAAAGGTTTCTGTGTGTATTTGTCTTGTAAGAATTTATAGCTTTTGGCCTCTGACTCATTTACAAAAACTAGCTTTCAGCCCCAACCCATCAGTGATACTGTCCTCTTTCTCTCCTATGCAGCCATGAATCTCCTTTATCTATACATATCTGTATGTGAGATAAAGGCCATTCTTGTGTACTACGTGTGTGCTTAGTGCCCTGGGAGGCAGGAAGAAGGCATCAGATTCCCTGGAACTGGAGTTAGATATGGTAGCGACTCACCATGTGGGTGCTGGGAATTGAACCCAGATTCTCTGGAAGAACAGCCAGTGCTTTTAAATCAGAGCCATCTCTTCAGCTTCTTGTTCTTCTTCTTCTTCTTCTTTTTTTTTTTTAAAGACAGGGTCTCACTGCACTCACTTGCCTCTGCTTCCCCAGTGCTGGCATTGTGGGTGTGCACCACTGTGCTTGGCAAGAGTCATTCTTTCTCATGTGGCTGTCTATTGTCCCAACAGCATCAGGTGACAACTATTTTTCCCTGAGCTGTCCTGGCTCCCTGTGAGAGTCACTTGATCCTTAATTAAAGCATTCATCTTGGGTCTTTCATTTTTTTCTGCTGGTATGTGCATCTGGCCTTGCCCAGTGTCTCCCTGCTGTGGCTGGTGCAGCTTGTAGTAAGTTCTGATATTGGGCAAGGTGAGTCCTCCAGCCTTGCTCTTCTCTTTCCAAATTGCTTTGGTCTCTGAATTCCTTGGGTCTACAAGGAAGTATGGGGCTTTTGTCTGGAAAGAGGTTGTCTCTCTACCGTTTGGACCACTGGCTTACCTCAGCCATCCTTCAGTTTCCTGTGGCCACGTCTGGAGCTGTTAAGTTCATTCTGGCGTATCTTCCTTTTTGTATTATTGTTATTTTTCCTTTTAGTTCTATGTTTTTCTTGATTTATTTTATTTTTAATGATGCGTATGCCAGTGTGAGGGTATGTGAACATGATAGCAGGGCCCACCGAGGCCAGAGATCTCTGATTTCCTGGAGTTACAATGGTTGAGAGGCACTTGAAAGTGGGTGCTGGGAACTGAACTTGGGTCCTCTGGAAGAGCCGTTCTGTGCTCTTACCTGCTGAGGTATCTCTCTGGCCCCCCAGTTATAACTTTTAAGATCCTTCTAATTGAATTCTCAGGATCAAGACCTACTGGTGTCTGTAGCCATGGGGGAGGGAGGGCTGGATCATGGAGTATAGGATGCAACCTGGGAGACAGCTCTGGTTTCAGCTTCCTCTAAGCATCTCACTTCCTGCTTGAGGATGCCCAAGTACAGACAGACCTCTTGTCAGGCTTTGGACTCTAGCCGGACGCCCAGACCCTAACTCCTGGGATGTCTGAGTCTGGAGACTCTCAGCACCTCAATGGTCAGGGACCCTGGCAGCCAGTTCTTGGTGACTGACTGTGGTTTTTTTTTTTTTTTTTTTTTTTGGTGCTCCCTCCCACTCACCACAGGTGTGAATTTCAGTATGGACCAGTGCAGCCCTAATGGCACAGACCCCTACAAGCCCAAGTGTCCCGAGAGTGACTGGACAGGACAGACACCCGCCTTCCCTGAGTGGCTGACGGTCACCTTGCTCTGCCTCTATCTGCTCTTTGCCAACATCCTGCTGCTCAACCTGCTCATTGCCATGTTCAAGTGAGTGGGGGCACCTGCACCAGGGAAGGGCTCTCCTGGGCTGGCACTGCACAGGCAGCTATGGACAACCTCATGACAGTGTGTGTGTGTGGAGCTCCTGTGGAGCCAGCATGACAGCCTGTCTGTGTCACTGTCCTAGGGGCCCAGTCGCCCCTGTCCACTGACTTCGGGGTCATAAGACCCGCTCCTGCTAGGCCATGGAAGGCGCAGCCTGCCCACAGTGAAACCCTGGAGCCCTCGGCCCTCCTGTGTCCGCAGACAGGTTCCTGGTGGCTGCGACCTTCGGAAGTCTCTCCGTTGTGGTGTGCACCATGTGCTCATTTCCCCCCAGCTGATCTCAGGGGCTGCCCTTCCGTTTTAGAGTTTTCCAAACACGGAGAACTTCATATGCTGGCTAGATCTTCAGTCAGGGCAGGGGGTGTAGGTAGGTAGGGTGTAGGTAGGTAGGTAGGGGTGGACTCTGACCTGCAGGCAGGAAAAGCTATCTGATAAAGTGACACGCGTCCTTTCCTCTGCTCCTGTCCTGGGCTTCTGTATCAGGCTTGGGTACCTGAAGTACCTGAGATACCATCTGCTGCTTCAAATCACCAGATACACAGATTAGCTCTGAGGAGTTCTGTGCCACCCTTGTTTATTCATGAGTACAGATCTAAAATCCCTGTGATTTCCTGTCCTCGCCTGTTCCCAGAAGCCAGCCTCCACTTGGCATTTGGCTTACTTCCTGCTCACCTTTCTGCTGCACTTGGCCCTGGAATGTCGTGTCCCCACAAGCATTGTGATACATACACCCCTGCCTCCCACCAGCTACACGTTCCAGGAAGTGCAGGAACACACAGACCAGATCTGGAAGTTCCAGCGCCACGACCTGATTGAGGAGTACCATGGCCGGCCCCCGGCCCCTCCCCCCTTCATCCTCCTCAGCCACCTGCAGCTCCTGATCAAGAGGATTGTCCTGAAGATCCCTGCCAAGAGGCACAAGCAGCTCAGTGAGTGCCCCTGTCCCCGACTAGTCTGTGCAGTCCCACCATCCTGGGCACAGGTGTGAAAGGAACAGCTATGTGTTCCTTTCAGAGCCCTGGGTCCACAGTAGGCACGCTGACATCTCATGCTGCTGGGCTTTCCCTGCACCTGGCACCAGGCAGTAGCTCCCTGAGCCTGGATATGGGTGATGGACCCTTTCCACGGGGCCCTGGGTGGGTCATCGGGTCCTTGCCAACCCCATCCTGCCTACAGAGAACAAACTGGAGAAGAATGAGGAGGCAGCCCTCCTGTCCTGGGAGCTCTACCTGAAGGAGAACTACCTGCAGAACCAGCAGTACCAGCACAAACAGCGGGCAGAACAGAAGATCCAGGACATCAGTGAGAAGTAAAGATGCTGGGAGCTCTGGGGGGATGCATTAAAGCTATGCCCTGCAGCCTCAAAGCCATCCTAAGTGCAGTCCCGTGCGGGAGGACTCATGCCCAACTTGTGGGAGAGAAAACTGAATGTCATTGTGTCCAGACAAGAAACCAGGGTGCCCGATTGTGAAGATGATGGCAATGACGGTGATGAAGAAGGTGATGGTGATGACAATGGTATTGATGGTAATGGTGAAAACGGTGATGATATTGATGTAGTGTGATAACAATAGTGACCAGGATGTTAGTGCTGGAGGTGATGGTGACTATAGTGATGACGTTGGTGATGGTGACTATAGTGATGATGTTGGTGATGGTGGCATTGAGAGTGCTGGAGACGATGGTGACTTTAGTGATGGATGTTGGTAATGAGAGTACTGCAGAGAATGGTGTTGGGAGTGATGTTGCTGCTTCCCTGATAGTGCTGGTAGTTATGGAGACGATGATGGCAGCATCAATGAACCAGCTGATGATCAAGGCCCCTTGGACCAATCACGATGGGTGAGCTAGACAAAGACGTGCCATTTGCTTGAGTTTGGGTACAATGACATCAAGTGAGTCCTTGGAATGCTCTCTACTTAGAGCAGTCATCTGCTCAGTGTCCTTGTCTTGGAGGGTCTTTCCTGCTTCCACACTTCCTGTCTGTACCTCCAAACAATTCTGAAGGCTGCTGGTTGGCAGCTTTACTGGTGTGTTGGCTGATGGCCTTGTGACCGCATCGTTTGGTGAAGTCTGTCTCTTAGGTTCATTTGTGGCTTATTAGTGGATTTAGAGATAGGCTTATGGGTTGGTGAATGTATCAGCTGATTGCTTGTGGGTGTACTAGTTGCTTTTTGGTAGCTGTGATAAAATACCATGACCAAGGCAACTTATATAAGAGTTTATTTTGGCTTACAGGTCCAGAGGGTTAGAGTCTGAAATAGTGGCAACAGCCTGGCAGCAGGTGACAGACATTTCAGCAGGAATAGGTGCCGAGGGCCCACATGCTGAACTGGAAGCACAAAGCAGAGAGAGAAAAATCTTAAAACCCACTGGTTGGGGCTGGAGAGGTGGCTCAGGGGTTAAGCACACTCACTGTTCTTGCAGAAGACCCAGGTTTAATTCCCAGCACCCACATGATGGCTCACAGCCATCTGAAACCCCAGTTCCAGGGGTTTTGACATCCTCATCCTGCAGGCACATACATAGTATGCAGATAAAACACCCATATGTAAAATACATAATAAAACATCTTAGAGTATGCAAAAGGATTTTTTTTTTTAAAAACCACTGCTGACATACTTCCTCTAGAAAAAATAACCTAAACCTCTCCAAATAGGACCATCAACTGTGGACCAAGTGTTCACATGCCTAAGACTTGAGTGTGGGGGAGAGCATTTCTCCTTCAGTGGGCTGGGGTAGCATACATCTGTTTCCCCCAGAGAAAGGCCAGAACCAGGCAGAACTCAGTGACCGCTGTGTGGTTCTTGAGCTATGGGCCCTGGCCCGGCTAGCCTGTGTCAGTCTGGGCTGTGGTCTTCGCTGACATCACACTCTCATTGTCTATTTTAGAGCAGGTTCCAGGGTCCGTTGCAGCCCCTCAGCACCTGCTAGTACCTGCTCATCAAGGATGGCTGTATGGTGCCATTTAAAATGAATGATGATTGTGCCCACTGCCCAGATATTGGGGTGTGTGGCACCCAGGGAGCTTCTAAAATGAGGCTTGTGTCTGGATGCTCCAGGATGATCTGGAAGCTGGGTCAGGAGGGCTCTGAAGGCACGGTGTCAAGGGCTTGCTGTGGACTGAACACTTGACCTGCTTCCCTACCGTAGCCTTTTTTTTTTTTTTTTTTTTTTTTTTTTTTTTTTTTTGTGACT